GAGAAGAAGAAGCAGTAAAAGAAGAAATCACAGGCCAGCATCTGTTTATACTGTGATCCTTTCACTGCCAAGGGAAACTCCTGGTTTGGGGCGAATTCCGTGAGTAAGACATCAAGGAAGGTCAAAATCAACAAAATGAACCAAACTCTAGGCTGGGGAACTCGGGACATTCAGGTACCATCATCAAATCCAAATACTTAACGAAAAGTAAGGGAGTTTTTCTTTTCTTACTTTTTCAGTTTATAACCATTCTGTACTATTTGATTTTTTTTTCTTTTTTGCAATATACATGTACTACTTTTATAATTAAACAACATTTAAAATGATTTTTTTTTTTAAGTAAAGAACTAATCACAGTGGCACGTGAAATGGAATATCAATTTTGGGGACAGGTCATCCAGTTGAGTCCAAAAGCCCCAACATGGTCGCTGTGCTTCCAGTCTGTGGTCATCATCCAGCCTTTGGTCCTCCAACTCTACCCACAAGGCACTGGCAGTGACCCTGAACTGCTCTCAAAGCTTCCACACACCTTCTGCTGCCAAGCTCCCCCCCATGGGGTGAGGCATAGGAGAGGCCCAGGAACCAGAGAGAAGTCAAGTCAGCAAAATTAAGTTAATTTACAGAGTTATAGTAAAAACCATCACAATAACCTGGCTCCACCCATGCGGTGCTGAGTGCCTACAGAAAGTGGTGCACTAGTAGCAGGTGCAGAGGGTGGTGAAGAGGCCAGCCCAAGGACCCTGGGTCCTGGGGCCCCCGCAGGGCACTCGAGTGGATGCCTCACAGGGCAAAGGTGGTGAAGAAGATGTGCATCTTGACCAGGAAGGTGGTGACAGAGCCCTGCCGTAAGAGCTTCATCTCCACATCCAGGGCAAAGTCCCGGGGCTCACGCACCAGCCGCTGCAGGTAGACGACGCCCGTGTAGGCGTTAAGCCGACGCGTGCCAAAGTAGCCCTCCTCATTGCCCTTGGTGATGGTCAGGGCAATAGTGTCCCCCGCAAAGGCGGGCACTGGGCTGATGCGGAAGATGTGTGCTGGTACCAAGAGGCCGGTCTGAAAGCTGAGCTGATAGTAAGTGATGCGCGCCGGTGAATTCTGGCACTCCAAGTAGTCATGGCATGTGGTGCGCTCACACTTCCTGTGGGATGCATGGGGTTTGGTCAGCAGGCCTGGGACCTCGTGTACAGACATCCAGGACTCTCCCATCCCTGATGTCCACCATCCTGGACATCATGGAGGCAGGCTCAAAGGCCAGCTAGCCCCACCCCTACCCCTACCCTTGCAGCATCTGTTAAGTCACCTAACCTCTGTGGGCCTCAGTCTCCTCATCTGTAAGATGGGTTGATAGCTTTGTGGTTTCATTGGAGGATGCGGTGAGTTTATAAACATGCAGCACTTAGCACAGTGCCTGGCAGTTTGTTAGCAGCTCTTATGCACCCTTAAGTTCTTTCCTTCCTCCATTCTTTGTTTTTACTTGCGCACTGCCCATTTGCATAGGTTTCCTGGCCAGGATGTTTTTATTATTTTAATCATTTTCAAATTCTTTTTCTTCCATTAACTGACTGCTTCTAAGCCATTTCCTCCTCTGACTTGGGATGCCCTGCTCTTTTCCAGGTGGAAGCCTGGAGACTCGGCCATACTAGATGAGGATGATGATGAGAAAACTTCTGCCAAACCCCATAGGGGCCCAGGCCTCAATTTTTAAGCACTGCAACAATCTGATCTCTTCTTAGACCTCTGAGCCACGGGCATTTCCATCATTAAATCAGTATAAAAGCTCACTGCTTCCCAAAAGGGACAGTTTAAGCACCAAGACTCAGCAAATCTAGAGATCTTCTGAGCGGTGTTCCCTGACTGGCATGCCACAGCACAAGGCCACACAGGGCCACAGTAGGAACGACATCGCCAACAAGTAGCACTGACACAGCATTTATGCCATGCGATGCACTGTGCTAAACACACCCATCTTTACTCAAGTGATGCCCATCCCCAGTGGTAGTGCTACCATCATTCCCATGTTGTAGACGTGTCAGGTAAGATCCAGAAAAGAGAGGTCACCTGCCCAGGGTAACCTAGACATACTCCTTAAATACCCCAACATGCATTCACATGGACATTCCCCGGGCAGTGTGTGTAATAGTGAAAAATGGCAAACTGCCAGCAGGGCAGCCATATCCATGCTAGGAAATACTATTTGAGGCAGGCTACATACACAGACATGAAAGACAGCTGCAAGGTAGAGAAAGCAAGCTTCGAACAACTGAGTGCATCTATGTGACAGCATAACCATGTGCGCTTTATGCTCAAATGAGAGAGAAAATGGCCACACTCCAACCTGTCAGCAGTCATATGATTTGTTTGGGGGGAAGGGCAAGAACTTTTGCTTTATTGTTTTATATAAGTATGTATTACTTTTATAAGTATGTGTTACTTTTGTGAGACTGTTGCTAGCTCTCTCCATGACCACGACCTGTGCTGAGAGAAGTCTCATCAAAAGCAACCCCCTGGAGAAGCCCACGTGGCGAGGAGCTGAGACCTCCTGCCCAGAGCCATGTGAGTGGACAGCGGGATCCTGTCGCCTCATGAAACCCAGAGCTAGAACCACCCAGCTTAGCTGCTCCCAGGTTCCTGACCCTCCAAAACTGTGAGATAATAATTGTCATCTTAAGGTGCTAATGTGTTACACAACTACAGATAATATTGTGGGGGGTGGGCGGGGTTGGGGGGGAGAGGGAGAGAGGGAAGAGGGAGAG